CTCCAAGTCTGTTGCAATCTCAATCCAGCATATTGGGATACAATATTTTATAGTTTTGGTCCACTTTTATTGTATTTGTCAAGAAAAATTATGATAACGATGATTTAATTAAACTGCTTACAGTCAAACTGTTACTTTGGTCTAACTCTGTCAAAGCAATTAAATAGGGCTTACTTAAATTATCTTCTTGTAGTAAGTAGATACTCCAATAATAAGATGTGCGATGTATCGACCACAACCACAAGTAGCTGTGCTTTCATCAACAATAATATAAAAGCTCTCAATATTCAGAACCAACTTTAGTTTTCCGTATGAGCTTTTTATACACTACATGCACATTTTACTTTCTTACGGGAATTCGTTAGGGGTGTTTTTCGAGTATTTTTGTAAAAATTGTTTGAACCGAGCATTTTCAAGCTTTTTTAAAGGACTTTTCAGTCGCGCTAAAGCTTTTATAAGGCTTGATAAAACATCTCCGCTTCGTTTCTTGTTTTTTTTAAATGTTGTTTTGACACATTGCTAAACGGCACCAGATTTCATCTTTTGTAACATGGAACTTGTTTTGGCAGACAATTAGAAAAAAAATCTTTTGAGTGGTTCGAACATTTTTGCTCACTAATAATTTACTGTACATACCTATCCAGCATCAAAAATGTAATTGTTTAGTGCATAGCATAGCTCGATTATTACAGCTTTTCTGATACAAATTTAGGAGTATTGAAGAATTTCGTTACAGAGTATAAAAATGTCAGGCAACAAAATACAGGCAAGCCCACAAACTTAGACCCTTCCACTACATCTTCCGACGGGAATCCAAATATGCACAAATATGTAGTGTTTTTGAAAATATAAAATAAGTGTTGAAATTGAATAAAATATGGAAAAATTGCTTATTTGTACATGCACTTTGCAGATATTCCGCCTTTTAATAATAACTTGTGAAAAACATGTATTCCAGTTTGTGCAGTTTCTAAACTTATGGAGCGAGACCCAGCGAGAATGTTACTTATATTGCTTTTACTTACTAAATTCTGCTAAAAAGACATTAATTTGCGGCCTGCGCAAGTAGAAATTGAATAGCTATCCTTAAAACAAAATCCCCCTTTTTCCGCTCCACTATAAAATTTTACTGTTTATGTTTCCTACTGAACAGTTTTCAAGTCAGATATAAACCTTGTGCTATTTGAAAAATAATACAAGTTAATGATTTTATTATTTCACATCAGATGCAGATTATTAGACATCTTCAAAACGAAGGCTTAAACGTAATATTTAAAAGCTCACTCCTTTGCCCATAAAAAAATAGTTAAAAATAAACATCATTGATAACAATCACGCTGCATCTTTTAGAATTATTAAAAAAATATTTTATTCCGCTTGATCGCCCGTGCTGCTCTACATATCTCCGGAGAACAAAAAAGACCCGAATTATGCTCCTAATTATCGAATGCATCGATGTTCAATCTCTACTCGATTCGATCGGGGCATTATCAGATGATCATTAACATTTAATTTTGGACCTGCACGGTTGGCGGGTGGTAATAAACAATAATCCTATTGAATATGAAAATATACTGGACATACTGGGCGATCGAGATAAAAAGTTGTCGAGAGATACCCATAAGATAAGTAGAAGCCTTGCCGACAATATGGGAAAAAATGCTTGAATATTTGCTCTTCTGAATTACTCATGCAGACCACGTTCAAACTTGATTCTAAACTGTATTTGAATTTTACAGAAACAATTACTGCCATAAAAAGTAATAACTGTGATACTCCTGCGCTGCACCTTAGTATCCTTTTAGGCCACCAATTAACAGCTAGAAAACATAAAATCAATTTTAGCCAAGTGATCAAAGACTACCTTTGGGTATCCATCATTTATCGACTCACTTTAAAAGTCCTGGTTTAGTTTCGTCCAATAGGAAAACTTATGTTTCGCGAAGGGGGTATTCTTGACAACATAACTAGCCGATTAACTATCCAAAGGTTTAAAAAAACAAGCATAATCTCATGATGTCATTCAATTTATTTTATGCTAAATATTTTAAAATTGACGTTCGCTGCAAATTTCAGATGTTTTTTTTATTGAAAAAAACATCTGAAACTAGACTAGAAACTGAAAACTAAAGTTGGAAAAAAACCAGCGAAACGAAATATGCATAACTCATATTTTTTTACGAAAATGATGCTTTTTTACGAAAAATATTTATTTATTTCGTTACTAACCATGAAAATCTGTCTAAATTATAAAACACTCAAAATTATAACGCAAAGAAACTAACTGTCCGAAGAGTTCTCATTTTAATTAAAATCAGTTACAAACGCACAACCGTTCTTCGAAAAACCTGTTCCATCTGATCTAAAGGTTCGAGTTGAAGACGAAATGTGGAAGAGAGGACTTAAGGCATTAATAAAATGTACAGAAAATGCAAATAAAGATATGATTGAAACTAAAAGATTTACATTGTTAAGGATTGTATAATATGTGTAAACCATATCAACCAAAACATGACAATGTAATAATTGAGAACTTTCTAAAAAGGAATATTTTTGGAACGGAAACATGGACGGTAAATATAAATTTAGCTTCAATGGAAAATTGAATTGCTGAACTGTGATGGAACTGGGTTAAGTTAAATTTCTTAATGCAACCTAACAAATATGCTATTTCTTGGGTGCTTTGAAAATTTAGTTTTCATAGTTCTGGATGTAACATTCAGCAATCTTACAAAACCGTTTGAGTTAAATATAACAAGAAATAATCCAAATGAAGACATAAAAATTGCAATCTTTCAAACACCAATGTCTAGAGCACAGACACGATCGTTAGGAAGCATCGAAAAAGGTGGATAGATCTGAAACTGAAATCTGAAGACTGAAAACCGTAGCCCTACAATACTTAAAATGTAAAATATTATCGAATCTAGGAAGCTCAATTGAAATAATATAAAGTTTTAATAAAGTTTACCGCAGTGTAGCAAATATTGTAAGCTGCCGATAATAATTTTACGGAATAAAGGCTGGTATTGTATTTTTTGCGGAAACCATATATTTGTTTATCGGTTAATTTGCTTTCATTCAAAAATCCCATCGACTTATCAGTCTTTCAGCTCATGTTATTACGTAAACCTAATATTAAGAACATTTTCAGTGAATAACATAAAACCAAAGTACCTCTATATTTGGTTTTCTTTTCTTCTTCAAGTATTCTATCAGCCTCAGGAAAATCGCAATCGGGTTTGCCAAGTTTTAGGTTTCTTAGTTGTGTACTAGGGTTTTATGGCCTAATTGTTGTATTCCACCTTGGTGTAATTTGCTCTGTTTCGTATATTTGTTGATTAGTTTTCTCGATTGCGTTTACTTTCAGTATATTACTGGCAGTGAATTAAAGATGGATTTGTAAATTTTGTTCCAGTTTTTGTGCTATGCCTGGTGCTGGTGCTGTGTTTTCTAGCAGCTGTTACTGTGTTAAGTTTTTCAGTTTATCCTAGTTGTTAGCTGTGAGTGCTTTCAAGTTCAGTTTTCTGCCGGCTGTAATTTCCTAGTATTTTATTTTGTAATTAGTTTGTTGATCGACACGTGGCATTTCAAAAATGATTTTCAGTGACATTTGAAAAATGAGTCTCCAGTTATGAAACCACGTTATTTTTATGTCTGTTAGTGTTAGAAGTGTTTCATCACTTTTGCCAAAGCTTTAAATTTAGTATTTCCAAAGTTTTCGTATTACTAAGGCGAAAGTACCTATTCTTGTTTTCACTCCCACAAATGATCTGAGGTTGATAGCTCTAAACGTATAGAAAAATTTTGTTTGGGTTAGTTAAGAAGGTGCAGAGAAGCACAGACAATTTCAAATCCCCCTTGTACTTAGATATAGTAAATGTAAACGTAATGCTAACATATAAATTAATAATTACTTCAGCAGTATTAATTCACACCGCGCAAAATATTTATATCATTGTTGAAAGATCCATTACTCCGCAATTATTTCTTCAAGGAAGTTTTCGTATGAGATCTCGCAAAACTAAATCAAATGTCTCACGGGTAATTTATCCTTGTAATTGCTACTATTAGTCAAAGCTCTCCAACAAATAGAAAATGAGTTAAAGACTGAGTTAGTATTTGAAAGATTTTATGTTAAATTTTTGCCTTTTAAACGATATTACTTAGGCGGCAAATTCTTTAAGAAACAGTTTCACATTTGTCTGCTTGTATCAGAATTACAGAATTATAGAGCTTAAAATAAGCTAATTCTGGTGTGTCCGTTAGTTTCAAGATTTAATTAAATTAACAAACCATGTTGCATTTGTTGAAAGACTCGTTTACCAAATTCCCTTGTTACATTCTATGAAACGGTGCTATATGTTAAGTATTCTACGAATATCTTCATGTCGAGGTCGTAGAAAGATATTCGTACGTGTATGTGTTATTTAAAGTGGCAACTTATAAGATATGTGGGATTTCTCGAGAAATATATAGTAGCCTTAGCGAACGGAGTAATATTTCTTCAAACTGTCAAGTGTGGTAATAATAACTCCTGAATGCCAATAAGAAAGCCACATTTAAAAATGATTAGTCATACATTTGGGGGATACAGACAGCAAATAATCTATGCCATTTGCTCCAGAATTTCTTTTGCATTGGTGGCAACCAAACTTGCAATAAAAACTCGTATTCTGGCGATATTTATTTTTGAAATAATAGTGAATTTAATTTCAGTAATCCACAAATATATGGATGTTTCAACCATGCAGATGTTATAAACACGACAATTTTTTCGTAGAATTAATTAATCCCATCAATAATTTGATCATATTTCATGGCTTCAAACCTCTTCCAAACAACAAATTATATGCCAAGTATTAAAAATTTGCTACCACTTGTTAGAAGCATTAAACGCAGTTCAATAATTTTATTATCAAATCCTTAGTGGTTTCTGCTGTTGACCGTTGAGAGTCGACTATGCCTTAGAAATTTCCGAAGTGTTTACTGGTTATTCCTCGAATATTTACCTACAGTTTTGTTGATTTACATATGAATTTTTGTAAAAATGTAAAAAAACCTTCGTTTTTTAATGGTCGCTTTATTTAGGATAGCAATTTTTAGGATAGCAATATCCCAATAACTTCGTGTATCTAATCTGCTAGAGTCGTTTGAATCTGCATCCGATATATTATGGCATTCTTTTCCCGAGCAGCTGGATAATTATTTTTAGCAAATTTATCAACAAAATGTATATTGTCTACTGGTAAAGCATGGTAGTAGCATTTCTTGTGGGATATGTAAAAATGTTAAAATTCGTATTTTCTTTACTAAGTGCTAGTGTGGAAAAAAAGTTATAGCTGAATACAGTTGAAGTGGGCTCATGTTTTCAAACTTTTTTCTTATTCAAGTTTTATATTGTTCTTTTATTAACCTTATGAGTGAAGGGACGGTAAGGGTCTCTAACGTCTTTTATGGTGAATTGAATGAATATTTTTCAATAAAAAGCAAATTGTTTATCAGCACGTAATTATTCTCATTTTGAGTAACAATAACAAACATTTGTGGTACAAAATATGTAAAAACAAAATTTGAAAAATAAGGCAATTTGTGCAAAAACCAGTTTTTTTTAAATTATAAAATACCATACCCCAAGTTGTTTCATATGCCCCAATTTCACTCCACTCACACAAAAGTAGACTGTTTTATTATATGATAATATGTTCGAAAATACTTAATTCTTCCTACGAAAAATTGCCACCAAAATGCGCATCAGATGAAAAATCAACTTTCGACCAAGTTGTAAAAATCAGTTATTTTATTTTACAATCCGTTAGAGCAGCATGCGGGACTTTAACCAGAGATTAGTAGACTAATAGTAAGTCAACTAATTTCTGGTATAACCCAGCCTCACTATGTCAACAATTGTATATGTATATGTATATTATTTAATGTAATCACACAGTTAAGAATTAATTGGCACATACATAAAGTCTTATCAGTACTCTCGGTTGATCTATGTTTCAGGTAGAAAATAGACAGTTTGGAAAATTACAATAAGACGACGGTAGCTCGTATCATATCCTGGAAAACCGATGAAGACTATTCCCAACGAGCAATTAAACAGACAGCAGTGCTTATTCAAACACTGAATAATGTCTTATTATTAATATGAAACAATAAATTTAAAAAAAATGTTAATAACAATTGTTTGATATTTTCAGCCTACCATAACAAAAAACCAACCAAATTATATGTAGTTCCAATAAATGTTGCGTAATTCTTAACATGAAACCTTCGGAATGTTTACCGAAGTGCGTGACAAACGACGTTTTAATCGGCTTTTCGCTTAACTTTAAGTCGGTCTAGCACTCAGTGAATTGTACTTATACTGTCTTCGTCACAATGAAAATATCTCATTGTTTCTGATTCCAGATTGTCTTGCTTCAGATGTTTTTATGTAAATTATAGATGAAGACAGGAAAGGATGGTTTGCACGGGTTGTATCGTCGCTTGGCTTTGTAGATTCCAAGCTCACAACGAATGATGTTTATATTCTTTGTCACAATAAAAATATCTCGCGGTTTCTGCACATCCATATTTTCCTGCAAATATGAAGTATACTGGGTGCAAGAAATAGTATAAAAATATGATACCGTCAAACAAATCCTGAGACTTTCGCGATTGGGAACAAGGAGATGGACAATTTGAATAAGTAGGAAAACTATGTAAAAAGTGTGTCATGTAAAAAATGAGTCAAAATGCCTATGTAAAAAATGAGTCAAATGGCCTGCTACATTGTGTATATAAAATAGTAGGTACCTGCATAATAGTCTGTATTTATAAAATTTGCACGCTCCTAACCCAATTTTCAGAAAGTAATTCTTAATGGCCGGAAAATATAGCACCGGGACACCGAGTAAAATCTCATAAATAGAAAGTATAAGCGACTGGTTTCCGTGTTCTGAGAATATATAATAAAGATATAAACACCGGCAAAATATAGAAACTGGGTGCAAAAGGTGTCGGGACACATTATCCGCTTCCTGGTGTGAAAATATGAAGATGGCTATTTGTGAGCGAGCAACTTTAAAACAGAAATTGTATCGGGTGGATGCAAATCTAGGCTATTTGCTTTCGCATTTTAACGTAGGCAGTTTACTCCTGCAAACTGGTTCTTAATAAATGCAACTATAAATTCGGACATACTATTTGCATCTTCGATCAAAGGTTTATTAATATGATAGCAAATTTTATTGGAGACCTGTGTATTTAAACCACAAGAGTCAAAAAAGGGGAGACCGGAGTCAATCCTGCCAAATCAAGGAATCGTTGAATTAGAAATCGCCTACAACAAGTTAATAAATGCAGGCTGCATATGTTAAAAAGTTTCTAATTGCGTGTCAGAAAATCTCAGTTCAAATGCCTCCGCAAAGGGCAAAAGAAAAACGATTTAATGAATTGGATTGTTCTACCTATTTTCGTTTTTTTTGTACTTTCGAGACGTTCAAATGGCTCCCAACCAGAATTGGAATTATAGAAGATTTCAAACGAACCGCTAAAAATGAATCTGTATTAGTAAACTTATTTCTCGAATTATGAGAATTACTGTGCAACTTTTGGCCGTTATTCGATAACATAAATCCCACATTTATACTCCCGTCATACTCAGCTACTGCTTCTTTTTTTCAAAAGCAATCTACTGCATGTTGCATCTTAATCAAAATGTCTTGAACAACTGTATCCAGGCGTATGAAAAATTCTGGATCTGCTCATTCCGTTTCAATGAGACAACGGCAAATGCTTTGTTAATAACAATACACTTTAAATCAGCATTTCAGCTGACGAGCACCACGTCTGAAATAAAAAAGATCGTCTGCACTACGAATATTCTCGGCCGGAATAGTAGTTATTCCCAAACTTATCCTGTATTTAACATTGGCATATAAATGAACTAAAATGGCGTGTTGTACGTTGCAGTAACCGTGATAAACATGACTATATAATGGCCACATTTTCAGCGATTTTGAGGAAATGTGGTTCTCTATTATGTAATACAAGTATTTGCTAAACACCGTCAAGGAGCGGAACAACATCTTCCATTAAAATCAAAATACCCTTTTTTCTATATCCTGTTGTCACCATATTCTTTGGTGGAGCATACCATACATACGAGATCATTTTCATCTGCCAAAACAACAGTTTAACGTAAACTTCGTACGGTTTTATGCTTCTCAAACTTAAGAAAAATGTTAAACAAACACTTTATTTTTTACTTTGTATTTGAAAATTTAGAGTGGGTACCTTTCTGAGAGCACCACTACCAGAGTGGTACGTTATTTAGCATTCGGCTCTTTATATCTGCCTGTTTTTTGCTGTTTAGTTTAGTAAGTCAAAGCAAGTATTTAAGTACTTGTCGTCGTCGGGACGTTGGGGTTAAAGTGGTTGTAAGGAGTGAAAAGAGTATATTCAGTAAAGCTATGTATATCAGCGTTTCATTATAAAAGTCGTTCCTAGAAAGGACTTAATTTTTAGGACCCACATTAGAACATCTCTGTAATATAGGTTATTTTCAAATGGCAGCTCATTTGGCGGCTGTTCACCATCGGAACAAGTAAGATGTTGCTGTTTAACATGGTGATGAAATTGMACCGGGATGTCGAAGTTTTCAGTTCCGCAATAAAATTTAACCGGTTTSGATGACAAGAAATTTTATTTYATCAATAACGAGATTACGCTGTGATGTCGGTCAGTGGTTTGTTTATAACTTTGTTTATAACAAAMAACTGGAATTAAAAAATTTTGAATAATATTTTCCAGTCGCCCTTARACCTATAGCAGCCRTGGAGCTGGACTCATCTTGTGTAAATATTTAAAAAATATAATACCTTCCTGGTMTATAGAAAAGTTAWGTTTTTATGGTGTATTTGGTCGYTACACAAAATTGATTGTCATTTTTGTTCAAATGCGTCGGTTTTTCCGTTTTGAACTTCATACGTATCTAAAAAARACTCTTGMAAGTCAGATTCTYAAGTTTTATAACACAATCAGGATCAAACCAGCATGACAATATCTTTAACASTTTCAGAAAACRAGATTTTTTAAAAGAAACTGGCACTTTTTAAAATACTTTCTAATTTGCATTCTACATTTTTTACCTAGAATCCAATATCATAGTTATTACTAAAGTAGACATTTTTTAATGAAATAGTTTGTATCATTTACCACATTTGATTTTTTATGTTTTTTTTTAAATTATATTTAGGATTAAATTGCCTTTCCAAACATATTGCAAATTTACTATTTCAAAGGAAATCAATAACATATAACAACAAGAAGGAGTCCTTAGTCGAGAATGACACACAATTTTTCTTGCGCTTTTCCCAATGCAGATACGTGGGTGTGAACATTTTTGTGAACATTTTTGGTCGAGTTAATCAGCTAAATGGGGGCCTGAAATGCCGATATCAGTTTTGGTTTATCTGCTATAGCAATATCATTTTCAAGTTCAAAGTGTCCAATTTGGGCCATCCTGTGCAATGTTGGTAACATGATAAACTGACATATTGGTTGAAAAAAAATATATTAAAAAAAAATTCGTAATCAACGTTACAAACTAATTTGATATGTTACCAGAAATTCGTAATATTTTCAAGATGGCTTATAACAATTGTCTGAAATAATGCGGATGTGAGAAGTTTGTCTTACGGATATTGAACATTGCAATTTTTCGATTCGATCAAACTGTAGCCTTGCTTCTTGAGCTAGTTATGGCGTCTTTATTTAATAAGTTCGAATTTTGGCACCTAGCGCAAAATTATAGTCGCATTATATTTTTAAATATTTATTTGAATAATCAATACAGTACCTAAATGATTTAGTTTCCGATTATAGAGTTATCTCTTCTATTATACGATATTTCATTATTTTGCAGAGTGAAAATCGTTAATGCCAAGATTAATTAGATGCTGCAAACGGTACAAACAGATTATTTCTGGTCGTAAAACAGGTTCGGGAATTGAATTAAACGTGCTCAATCGAATACGCACACACACGGTCATCATTACCAATAATAATAATTGATTGTTGATTACAAAACTTACATCACTGCTTTAAATAGCCGCGATACAAATCTTGTAATTGTAAGTTTGAACAGCGTGTTTAGACATATACACCAGCACTATTCTTAAGTACATTGATTTACGAATGATGGTTTCATTTTTGCAAACATCTCGCAAATTATTTTAAACTTCAACGTAATTTTTATATGATAATAGAAGGGCCTGAGGAATCTTAGACTACCTTATCTCTTCATAATAGCACGATTTATTTCAATAGATCTGGAGCAATTGGAAGAAAAATTTCCGCAAACTCCCTCTAAGTCAATGGAACTTTAAGGAAGCTAGGAGCAAAATTTAACTTGACAGTAAAGTGTAGACTAAAAATAGAGTATAAAGATCACAACATCAAGATCTGATACGTAGTTTCCTAAGAGAATCTAGAGGAAGAACCTTAAACCAGTTGCGGTTGATCTGGATCTTCGTTAAATACCGCAAGACTCTACACGGTTGACAAAAATTCATCAGAAGACGATGCCAGACAAACTTTTAAAAAGATCGACGAAACCACCTTAGAACAAGACAAAATCCCTAATTTCGATATGATAAAACGTTCACGCAGACAAACATTGAAGCAGCAAAGATCACCACTCACAATCGTCAACATACACCAGTGTTGGTTATCGTTTGCTGCCGTCGGAACTATCTAACCAATCTCTGCCACAAAAAGATTCTGCTGATTTTCACCATAAAAAACGTTTGGGTCGAAGAAAACCAGCAAACAAAAAATAGAAGTTCAGAAATGATAGTGTTCCAGAAGATAGCTTTTTAATCCTTTCTATCCAGAAATAGGCGCATGCTACCAGACAGTTGGTAAGTGTTGTCGAACGAGCAATATAATTATTATCTGAGGATTAATCAACGACAATTGAAAGGAAAATGAGAAGAAAATTAGGGCATAATGGCAATCGCTTCAGCTCAATCATTTCTCAGATTCCTATATATTCCATGATAAAAGGTATATCTTGCAAACTCGCCCAATTTTAACATTTTTCTCAAAAGTCTGGAACTACGTAGCATACTTTCTATTAACTATAACAAAAAAGCACTTTCT